GGGGGGGCACAATTTAAAAAAAATCTACAGTTACATTAGACAAGTTCAGAAAAATTATTTTTTTAAACTCTCACCTGCAGGGGCAGCTTCAACTGTTTACCCTCGTTTGTAATAGTCATCACAGCAGGAGAGGAGGTGGACGACGTCATAGCACAAGACGAACGGGTGGTAGGAGGCTGTCCTTCCCTTCCATCACAGGGAAACACATCTTTCGAGCTGGAAGGCACTTCTGGTCTCTGATTGTTAACTCCTGTAGCAATTAGTGGACAGGCTTTATCTGATTTTCTTCCCAAGGACGGTGAAAGGCCATCCAACATGCACGCTATTTTTGGTTCTGTTTTGGTGAGTTTCATAATTACATCAGAATCAGCTCCCTCTACGAGTTTGCTTTTAAGAGACCGAAGCGTAGCTTCAATGACCTTAATTGGACCACTCGTCAGGTTAGATGGAGATTTGCCGGGATTTGGTTTCTCCGTATTCAGGGTGTCCTTCGTGGAAGTTTGCGGGGACAGTACTTTTCTGAGTTGTGACCCAGTTTTTATTTGCCTAGTATTCGAAAGTATGGCAGTGTCAGTTTCCTCCACAAAGCAACAATTATCAACTCTGGTTCTCTTAGCGTGCAACCTTCTCTTGCTCTTTTTTCTTACATTCTCGGTGACTGGTGCAGTGACTCCGATTGCTATTCTTTTTTCTTGGTTGTCATAGGTAGGTAAGGGCACACGGATGAATCTACAGTCGACAATTTCATCATCTTTCTCAGGTAAATCACTGGAGGGTTTAAACTTTACGCTGTACTTTATGTTGAGCTCTGATTGTTCCTTTGCATTAGACGTGGTTTCAGTTGCTCTAGCCGCTTCTGTCTTTCCTTCTCGCCAAGACATCTCCGTCTGCCTATCATGGATTGATAGTGACCACATCTGTTTTTCGGACACTGGCTGTCCATAACATCCCTTTTGGCTGTGCGTGAACACCTGGTACCTGTTCTTGAAGGCCCGGCCACACTGAGGACAGGACGAGCACTCGCTGTCGGGCCTTGACTCTGCTAACGCCATCAGGTGAACGTAGCTGAGAGTATGGCCCCGTGTTGAGTTCAACAGTTCTTTCAGGCATCCAGATCGATGGTGCTGTAGCAGGGCTGAGAATGAGAGACAATGCACTTTACAATCGCCGCAGCGATAGGTCGCCTGGGAGGAAAGCTTTTTGGACCCCGATTTAGACAATGGAGACTGTTGGCGATCGTTCTCGGCTTTTTTCCGTGATTCAGATTCCGTATGTGGTACACACTTGGTTGCTGTAGAGGACATTTTGGGGATCTTTACAGGTTTTGAAGTTGACAGTTGGCGTGTATGTTCTGCATTGATTGTCTCGGGTTGAAATTCCATGTCCTTTGTTGACTTAGTTACTGGAGACACTGGCATGACTACTGAAAACGGCAGTCGTGGTGAACTCGAAGCTGCAGTCTCTGACTTTGAAGGAGCGGGTTGTGCAGACGGAAGCGGAGATAAACTTTTTGATGCTGGGACTGAACGTTGTGGTCGCTGAGTCTGTCGTACTTGAGACGGGAGGAGGCATGTTGATTGTAGAACAACGTTTTTCTGTGAATTACTCGAGGTTCGAATTTTGCTCTGCAAAACGTCACAATTTTCCGTGTTTCTTTGTTTCGTTGTTAAAATACATGTGGGAAAAACAGCTTTAGGCCAACACCTGGAATCATGATTTGGAACAAACGCTGTCTTAGGATCGTTTGCTGAGACGCTGGCGTCGCAGTAGAACGGTGAGTATAAGTTGGTCATAGAAGGGTTTGTTTTGATACATTGGCTGTCACCCTGCCCATCCTCTGAACCTTCTACACTCGCTGTTTGTGGAACAGTCACCATGGATTGTGTGCTGCAGTCAGTTATCGTTGCTAGCTCAAGCGTACGCGCACACTGAATTTTCGCTGGTAGTGGTTTTATGTCTTTGTAGCTGTCTGTCGCTAATTTTACGGCTCTTTCTTTACAAGTGCCTGTGACACAAGTTAATTCATTTGTTCCTATTTTGTTTTCCTGCTTGTCCCTCTCTCCACATAAGGGTTTTCTAATCAGTTCTTGTGTATCAAAACATGTTTCTGAGCTTTCTGTATAATTTACAAGAACATTTTCGCCAATATTGCAGTTTAGGCAGCCATGTTCAGGGTACTTATTTTGTGCTTGCTCCTTTCCACCGTGGTTCAAAGAATTTGGTTTATCCATCAACAGATGGCTCGCCTTCTTGCTTTCATCATTTGTGTGACTCTGTAGTGCACATTTAACAGGCAGTTTCATGCCACTCTTAAAATTATTCTCAAGCTGTCTACCAGAATTGGTCGCTTCTTTAGTAAACTCCTGTTTAATCATGGCTGCCTCAAAGGATCCTTGATTAGCTCCATCGGTCAAGACAGTCCGGTATGTGTTGAGTTTAATGTCCTTGGGGCTATTTCTGCCAGTGTTTCTATCAGTACTGGTTTTGCTCATCCTGCTTTCTGAAACACATGTTTTTCTCAATTTATTATCAGGTTGTCCACTTGCATATTTTCCAAAGTCTTGGCTCAGTGCTCGTTTTCGTTTACCCGTAGGTGACTTAATCTCAGATTTGATTATAGGTATTTCTTCAGAGCCGTCTCCTTTCGTAGACACAGGCTCTTTGTTTCTGGTATGCCTAGGGTTTCCAGGATGCACAAATGTGTTTCTTCCTCTCGTGTCATTGGACGAGCTCGTTGTCGTTTTGTTGACCTGCAACGTGAGAGAACCTTCAGGTGCTGAGACATCTCGTGGTCTGTGCACGACTTTGTCGGGATACACTCTTGACTCAAATGCATCCTGGCGTGTGGACTCTCTCAACAGTTGAAGTGAGCTGTGTGGAAATTCGCGGGCTTCGGATTTGCCATCTTCCCTGCAATATTTTAGACTAGATTTACTATTATTTTCAGGGGGGATGAGAGGTTGGTGCTTGATCACAGAATCACTTGCCTTTGGCTGTTGCGTCGTCGATCGGACAGACCTTACATTTGCCACTAAAGGCATTGGAAACTGTGAGTTTGGCACAGGGATATCAGACAAGGATTTAGTCTGTCCTTTCTTGAGTGAAATCAAACTCAGGTTTGTTATAGGTATTGCATCAGAAGTCAGGGTAGGGTCACTGACTTGATGTGTGTGTGTGAAATTGCATTGTCTGGGAAAGCTGCTGAAATCGACTCCACCTGTGTACTCTGTTATATTTTGAAAACCAGTAGTCTCTGGGCGAGAGGTTAAAGGATTTGTTTGCTCTAATAATGAATATTTAGTCAAGGGCTTCAAAACATCCGAAGGATTGGTTGATTTCTTCTTTTTGAACTCATTCAGCCAAGTTGGGGCTTTCTTCAAAGTAGTGATAGGTTTATTCAGAGTGGAATACACTTCAGTGGTAGATTCTCTTCTCTTCAGGTGTGGGTGATTCGATTTATAAGAGAGGCCAGGCTGCAAGACGAGTGGGTTGGTGAGATGCGTAGCTGTGTAAACACCTCTCTGGCTCTGATCCCTGTGCCTGAGCCTTCCATTATCAAACAAGAAACCGCTGGCTGTTGGTTGGATTTCCATGGCAGCAATGTCGTCACTTACACCACTGTGACCAGTCCTGCTCAATGGCTTCGTCTCAGCTGTTGAATAGGGATGGCCTAGCTTCGAATCCTCACAAGTACTTCTTAAACCACTCTGTCCATGCCCGACGGGGAAGATGCGCTTCACGGGTGTTGTGTCTACACAATCATCTCGGTAAGTCGGGGTTCGGACCTGTGAGTCAGTTTGAGGCCTGCACCAGAGATCATCGTCTCCGTACTTCGGATACAACGGCTTCTCCCACGAAAGACCCTGGTGGCCAAAAGGTGACATCATGTCCATGGACAAGAGAGTTCTCTGCGGAACAGGCCGGGGGATGGGGTGGTGAGCGGGGGCAAGCCACGGAGACCGAGAAGAAAACCACTCAGGCTGAAGATACGGACAGTAAACGTTGTGGGCAGAGTATTTTTCTGTAGTTGCTGACGACTTTTCTGTGGTAGTGCTCCCTGAACTTATGCTGTCAACTTTGGAGCTTAACACTGTGGGCTCCGACTGACCTCTGTCAGTACTCTCCATGTGACAACTGTTGTGTGAACTTTTTCTCCCACCTGCATCCCGTTCGCCGGTAACCAGTAAGCCTGACAATGAGGATTTAGGTGGCTTCGCGTATTTCCGAGAAGTGTCTTCATTGCTATTCAGAGCAACTCCTTGATAGTTACAAATTTCCCCTTTGCGTACCCATGGCTTAAAAGCTTTGGGACTCGTACTAAAACCTTCTATTGCAAAAGCGGTATTGTTCTTCAAGTCACCTTGAGCTTTAGATTCATCTTGCAGTGAACTTGTAACATGCCACGTTCTGTGTGATGATACCTCTTTAGAGCAGTGTAAGGTTGATCTCTTTAGGCGAAAACATTTGTAACCTTGAGATGCAATTTTCGGGTTATCCTTTAAATCATTGTCTTGTGAAGACACAGGATGGCCATAGATTTTCTCCTCATTGTCTTCTAGACGGTGGCATGAAATAAAGGAGAAAATTATGTCCATCATGGACAAGGTGGAAGACAGAAAATGATAATAAAAGCACGCAATTTACAATGACCACAAACTCTCTGCAGCCTTTCTCTTTCCTAAAACAATGTGCTTATCTACCTAAACATAATTTTATGGTGCTTCGCTTGTGACCTTTAATAAGCCCTATTCTTTTAAAAAAGAATTTTCCTTAAAAAGAGCCCTTGTAGTCTTTTGAGACAGAGTCAAAGTCAGGTTTCGACTGTCTTGATTTTGCAAATACAATGCACTATTATGTTTTTAACACAAGTTTAGCTATAGCATCTATATAGCCCAATGCCCAATTGGAGCCTATTAAAACCGAACACTCGCTAGATCTAGACCTATAGCCTTGATGCCAGTGAGCAAACCACAACTAAAACTGAACTGTACTGTACTGTGCAGTACAGGACAAAAAATCTCGGAGGTCCCGTGAGCATGTTGCGCACGTTTAAGATCTCTTGGTGGTTAAAAACCGTAGTACTCTAAGGTATTGAATAAAACGGGAGGGTAGGAATAAAAGAAGGAGGGGTGGACAAGTGGTCCAACATTAATAAACGGGGGG